TGCTGCTGCTGCTGCTGCTGCTGCTGTTTTGGCGCCACTGTGCGCGGCGCGAACGCCAGCTTCTCCCTCGCAAGTGACCTGCTGCTGCTGCTGCTGCTGCTGCAGGCGGAGCCGCTGCTGCTGCTGGAGATGCTGCAGCAAATATACGAGCGGATCTGCCGCTGCTGCTGCAGCGAGGGGCCCCTCACAGAAGAGGCCCTCCGCAGCCACTTCAGCACAGTTTGTTTGCTGTTGGATCTTGCTGCTGACTTCGGCTATCCTTACATTCTGGAGGACAATTTGCTGCAGCAGCTGCTGCAGCCTTCCTCCGTCGTCGCCAAGGCCATGCAGCTCGTCCGTCTCCCGCTGCTGCTGCTGCTGCTGCTGCTGCTGCTGCTGGTGCTGGTGCACGTATCGCCGCTGCAGATGCTGCTGCTGCTCCTGCTGCACTTATCGCCGCCGTTGCTGCTGCTGCTGCACTTGTCGCTGCTGCAGATGGCGCTGCTGCTGCTGCTGCTGCCCGTAGCGCCGCTGCAGATGCTGCTGTTGCTGCTGCTTCTGCACTTATCGCCGGTGCAGATGCTGCTGCTGCACCTGCCGTTGCCGCTTCTGCGGTTGCTGCTGCTCCTGTACTTGCCGCCGCTGCAGGTGCTGCCGCTGCTCTCGTTTCACTTGCCGCTGCAGCGCTTGCTGCTGCTACTGCTGCTGCTGCTGCAGCTCTAACCGCTGCTGCGACCGCGCTTTGCAGGCTGTTGCTGCTGCTGCACCATGAGGTTATTCCTGCTGCTGCTGTTGCTGCTGCTGCTGCGTAGGTGCAAGGGTCTTCTCGGGTGCTTTCGTCTCTTGCTGCTTCTATTGGCGTGGGGCCGCAGCAGCAGCAGCAGAACTCTCTACAAGCAGTGCCAGAGCTGACTGCAGGTATGTCCTTTGCTGCTGCTGCTGCCGCTGCTGCTGCTGCTGCTGGTGTACGTCCCCTTCGCCCTCCCTATGCTGCCGCTTCTCCTTCTCATCTTTTTCCACGAGTCCCTGCTGCTGCTGCTGCTGCTGCTGCTGGTGTACCTCCCCCTTCCCGCCTCTCTGCTGCAGCTCGCGCTCCCCTCCCAACCCCCTCCTGCTGCTGCTGCTGCTGCTGCTGCTGCTGCTGCTGCTGCTGCTAGGCGCGGGGCTGGGGACGGGCAGCGGGCACGGGGAGGGGAGCGGCTTGAGCGGCAGCGGGAGCGACTGCTGGTGGCGGCGGGGGGGAGTTCATTATGCTTCGAATGAAGTTTATGTAGATTTAATTGAAAAGATAAATGCAATTGTGGACCAGTGGGCCCCTCTGCTGCTGCTGCTGCTCTTGCTGCTGCTTCAGATGCACCAAAAACCACCTTTCTAGCCTTCAGGGTTCCCCCGCTGCTGCTGCTGCTGCAGCTGCTGCTGCTGCTGCCTTTATTGCTGCTGCTGCTGCCTTTATTGCTGCTGCTGCTGTGGCTGCTGGCTTTTGTGCAGAAACGGGCAGATGCTGAACTCCTCCATTACTGGCCAAATAATGATTAACTCCAGGGCAAGCTGCTGCTGCTGTTGCTGCTGCTGTTGCTGCTGCTGCTGTTACTGCTACTGCTGCGGCGGCGGCGCGCTGTTGCTGGTTGTCGTTTGTGCTGCTGCTTGCTGCCTTTGCTGCTGCGTTTTCTCCCCTTTTCTGCAAACTCTGCTGCTCCAACAACTCCCGCTGCTGCTGCTGCTGCTGCTGCTGCAGCTCAGCGGCATCCCCGAGCTTTGCTTGTCGCTGCGGCAGCCGCAGCTGCTGCAGTCTGCTGCTTTTCACCCCTGTGTCAGGTGAGTTTGCTGCTGCACCTTTTGCTGCTTTCATTTTTAATTTAATTCTTTATTTGCTGCATTTGCTTCTTCTTTTATTAAACCATTTATTGATTTGCTGCTTATGCCTTTGTTGCTGCTCGAAGCGAGGTTTTGCTGCTGCTGCTGTTTCTGCCGCAACAGCAGCAGCAGCAGCAGCAGCAGCAGCAGCATTCCTTTGCTGCTTCCCGGGTCTCTTTTTTCGCCGTTTTTTCTGTTATCTTTTTGCTTCTTTTATTATCTTTTCTATTTTCTTTATTTATCTCTTTTTTAATTTAATTTTAGTTTAATTTAACTTTAATTTAAGTTTAATTTAATTTATTTTTATTTTTATTTTTCTGTTTTTTTATTTCAAAGGCAGGCTCGCTTTCGCCGCGACGGCGTTTTGTCTCTTTGCCCCCCAGACAAAGACTTCTGCCTCGCTTCTTACTGGTCTGCTGCTGCTGCTGCTGCTGTTGCTGCTGCTGTTGCTGCTGCTGCTGTTGCTGCTGCTGCTACCGATGTTGCTGCTGCTGCTGTTGCTGCTGTTACCCTTGGTGCCGCTGATGCTGCTACTGCTCATCTGCTGCTGCTATATTGCTCTCGGTGTTGTTGTTGCTGCTGCTGCTGATATTGCTTTTGGTCTGCTGCTACTGCTCTTGCTGCTGCTGCTGCTGCTGTTTTCGGGAGAGCTGGCTTTGCTGCTGTTGCATTTGTTGTTACTGCTGCTGCTCTTGAACTTGCTTCTGGTGCTGCTCTTGCTGCTGCTGCTGCTACTGCTGCTGTGTGTGCTGTTTTGCTGCTGCTGCTGCTGCGCGCAGGCTTCCTGATAAGCGTTTCTTTTTGCCTGTCACTGTCTCGGGGTCTCTAAGCTTCCCGAGCAGCAGCAGCAGCAGCAGCAGCTCCCCCATGGCAGCAGCAGCAGCAGCAGCGGGAGGAGCAGCAGCAGCAGCAGCAGCAGCTCCTGAGTCGCTCAGCGGGCGCCTGCGCCTCAAACTCGCTGCGCACAACCCCCGCGGCATGAGCAGCAGCAGCAGCAGCAGCAGCAGCAGCAGCAGCACGGGAGCAGCAGAAAACATTAGTGTCTCCATTACTGTCCCTTCTTTTGTCGGAGCTGCTTCTTTAATTTGTTCTTCTGGAGCCATTCGCTACGTGCATGCAAAAAGGGCAAGAAAACAATTTAACAAATCTTTTTTATTATTTTTTTATTTATTTATGTATTTAATTTTAATTAATTAATTTATTTATTTATTTATTTCCGTGTTCTTTCATTTGTTATTCATTTATTTATGCATGCAAAAAGGGCAAAAGCAGTCAACTGAACTTGCTTATTATTCATTCATTTCTTTATTTCTCGTTAAGTAATTAATTAATTAATTAATTAATTTATTTATTTATTTATTTATTTATTTTTTATTTTATTTTATTTTCGCAGCTGATAGTTTGGGAAGTTCCTTCGCTGGCCTTCGACTCGCCGCCCCAGACAGCTGAGGGCACGGTGGGGCTTTTTTAGATCTTTTGGGGCTTTATTTGCATGCAAAAAGGGCATTTGGGGCTTTATTTGCATGCAAAAATGACTTTTGGGGCTGTATTTGCATGCAAAAATGATATTCGGGGCTTTGGTTGCATGCAAATGGCTTTATTTGCATGCAAAAATGACATCTTGGGCTCTGTTTGCATGCAAAGAGGACATTCGGGGCTGTATTTGCATGCAAAATGATATTTGTGGCCTCCTTTGCATGCAAAAGTGATATTTGGGGCTTTGTTTACATGCAAATAGCTCCATTTGCATGCAAAAATGACATTTGGGGCTGCATTTGCATGCAAAAAGGACATTTGGGGCTGTCTCTGCATGCGGAAGTGATATTTGGGGCTTTGTTTGCATGCAAATGGCTATATTCGCATGCAAAAATGATATTTGAGGCTTTATTTGCATGCAGAATTGATATTTGGGGCTTTATTTGCATGCAAACGGTGGCTTTGGGGCTTTGTTCAACAGTAGCAGCAGCAGCAGCAGCAACAGCAGCAGCCGTGCGTTTCTGTTGCTGCTGCAGCAGCAACAGCAGCAGCAGCAGCAGCATATTCTAGTTCGTTTTTTCGCCGCTTACATCTTCGAAATCGCGTTTTTACTTCAATTTAATTCAATTTAATTAATTAAATTGCAATTAGTTTAATAAATCTAACTAATTTAATTTAATTTAATTATTTATTTGTTTATTTTTTTATTTATTTATTTAGGTGGCTCTGAAGCCAGAAGAGGCTCTCAGCGAAGACGCCGTAGCGCCGCAGGAAACGAGGCCAGTTTAGATTTTATTTTTAATTATTTTTTACTCTTTTTTTAATCTTTTTTAATCATTTTTTTATCATTTTTTAAGTTTTTTTAAATCTTTTTTGTTCCTTGATTTGTCCTTTTATTTGTTTCTTTATTTGTCTCTTTATTTGCTTTTTATTTGGCTGTTTTTCATCTTTTTTTCGTCTTTTTTTGGTATTTCTTTTCATCCTTTTTGGCGTTTTTGGAGTTCTGTTTGTATCTTCTTTTGGCCTGTATTTTTATTTTTCTTCAGTTTCTTCTTTTTACTTTCCTAATTAATTAACCAATTAATTTATTTATTATTTAATTTAATTGTTTTATTGTTTATTTATTTATTTATTTATTTATTTATTTATTTATTTATTCTCTTATAGGTGTGTGGCCCAAGTGAATTTCCTAGTCAAGAATTGGGTGCCTTCGGGCCTAAAGGTGAGTTGGGAAAACAAATAAATAAAAGAGGAAATTAATTAAATTAAAAATTAAATTAAATTAAATTAAATTAAATTTAATTTAATTGATTAATTTAGGTAAATAAATGAATAAATCAAGTGCTCTCCACCGCTTTTTGCTGCTTATCTTTAGTTTAGCTGCAGCTGCTGCTGCTGCTTTGCTGCTGCATCATTGCAGCAGAAGCAGTAGCAGCAGCAGCAGCAACTGCTGCTGCCACACTTTCTGCATCGGCTGCTGCTGCTGCTCCAGCTGCTGCTGCTGCTGCTACTGCAGTTCTGCTGCTGCTGCTGCTCCACTTGCTGCTGTTGCTACTGCACTTCTGCTTGTGCTGCTGCTCCACTCGCTGCTGCTGCCTTTACTGCTCCTCTGCTGCTGCTGCTGCTTCACTTGCTGCTGCTGCTGCTGCTGCTGCTGCAGCTGGAGGCTTTGGACGTTTCTGGAGTTGCTGCTCAGCCCTACAAAGGATGCCGCAGCGGCACTGTGGGGGGTAACTTTAAAACCCTAAAAGGATTTATTTATTATTAATTTTAATTAATTAAATACCATTTATTTTATTTATTATTCATTTTATTTATTATTGTTTTGTTTATTATTTATATTATTTATTATTCTTTTGTTTATTATCCTTAAATTATTATGTGTTATTTGTTTGTTCACAATTTGTTGCACTGTTGCACTGTGCTGTTCGCCACTGTTTTTTTTCAAATCCATTTATCATTTATTTTCTTCTTTTATTTATTATTATTTATTCTTAAATACATTTTTATTACTATTTAAAGCATATCGTTATTTATTTATTTATTTATTTATTTATTTTATTCATTTGTTTATTTATTTATTTGTTTATTTATTTTTAATCCATTTCTGTCTGGCTTTTTGGATCGGCAGTTTTGACAAAAGTGAAAACAAGTTTTGGTTGCCTGCAGTGTACCTACTCCACGTCTTTTAGGGTTTAGGGTTTAGGGTTTAGGGTTTAGGGTTTAGGGTTTGTTGTGAGTGTCTGCAGGGGAGCTGGAGTTCCGTCTGGGAAACTGAAAGTCTTTAAGGAAATAAAAACAAATAAATGAAATAAAATAAAATAAAAGTACCAAATTAATAAATCACGAATAAATAAATAAACAAACAAATGAATAAAATCCAAACTGCAGCAAATCTAATTTTCGGCTGTTCCCTCTTGCAAGCAAAAGCAAAAGAACCCCTGGGGGCCCCCTAAGGGGGCCCCCAGGGGGCCCTTCAGGGGGGCCCCCAGGGGCCCTTTAGGGGCCCCCGGGGTCCCCTTTAGGGGCCCCCGGAGTCCCCTTTAGGGGCCCCCAGGGGGCCCCCAAGGACCTTCAGGGGGCCCCGGAAGCTTCCAGGGGGGCCCTCCAGGGGCCCCCAGGGGGTACTCTAGGGGCCCCCCAAGGACCCCTTAAACAGCAGCTCTAGGGGCCCCTAGGGGGCCCCCAGGGGGCCCCTAAGGGGCCCCTGGGGGCCCCCAAGGGGGCCCCCTGCTAGGGCCTATAGGGCATCTTGAGCCCCGGGGTTTTGAAGCTTATGTTTGTCTCTAGGGTTTAGGGTTTAGGGTTTAGGGTTTTTGATTTTTTGTACCGCTGATTCAGCTGTCTGTGTCTTCGTCGTCAGCATCTTCGCCCTGCGAAGCAGCAGCAGCAGCAACAGCAGCAGCAACAGCAGCAGCAGCACAGCAGCGCTCAATTGTCTCTGCTTGTTATTTCTTTTTTGTCTTTTTTCACAACAAAGGATGAACCAAGAAAAACGCCAATGAAGACTTCAAAACAAAAGTGGTATTAATTTATTTATTTATTTATTTATTTATTTATTATTTATTTTTACTTCTCCAGCGCTGCCAGTCCAAAGACTCAAATTGTCCTGCAGCAGCTTCAGCATCGACTCGCTGCAAAATAAAATAAATAAATAAATGAATAAATAATAAATAAAATGAATAAAACAAATAAATAAATAGGTAAATAAACAGGTAAATAAATAAATAAATATAAAATAAACGATAAATAAGTAAATAAATAAATGAAAAATAGATAAACAAAATGAAGTACAAATAAATAAAAGAAAAGTAAACAAAGAAAACGAAAAAAGGAGAAAGAAAATTTCAGATTTGGATTTTCCCGCCAATTCGAAGTCTTTTTTGCATCTAAAGAGTTCTTTTTGAAGCTCTTTTCATTCCGAAGGCAGCCATTTGATTTATTTCGCGATTAAATTCCTTTTTTCTTCTTTTTTTCCTTTTTTCCTTTCTTTTCCCCCACCTGTCTTTGCGCTGGTCCTCGGGGAGCGCCGCCAGCGCGCTCTCGGGTGTCTCGATGGCGGCGCGCGCGAGCTCGCAGGCCTTCGCTGAAAAAAAGCGAAAAGCGCCGAAAAAAGCCGAAAAAAAGAAGAAAAAAGAAGAAATGAGAGCGTTTTGAACTCTCAGTTGAATCCAGTTTGCTTTTTAATTCAAATTCGCGAAAAAAAATTGAATTTTCCGCAAAAAATGACCCAAACTCAAAAATTCCCAACACTCTCTCGCCCGGAGACTGCAGGCTTTGATGGCGAAACAAATCAATAAAAACTTTTTTAAATAAATAAATAAATAACGAATTAATTAATTAATTAATTAATTAATTGGTTAATTAATTAGAAGGGGGTAGGGTTTAGGGTTTAGGATTTACCGGGTTCATTAAGGGCTTCGAAGCAGTTTAGGGTTTAAGCCTAAGGCTTTAGGCTCCAGGCTCTAGGCTTTAGGGTTTAGGGTTTAGGGTTTAGGGTTTAGGGTTTGCCGTGTTCATTGAGTGTTTCAAAATAAAGAAGTGTTTACGGTTTAGGGTTTAGGGTTTACCGGGTTCATTAAGATCTTCGAAGTCGTTTAGGGTTTAAGCCTAAGGCTTTAGGCTTTAGGCTGTAGGCCCTAGGGTTTAGGGTTTGGGCTTTAGGGTTTAGGGTTTAGGGTTTAGGGTTTAGGGTTTACCGGGTTCATTAAGCGCTTCGAAATAAAAGACGGAGAAGTTGAGGGCAATTCCCAAACGGACTGGATGGCCCTCTGGAAGTCCGTCTTCGGCAATTCGAGAAGCCTTTTAAATAAATAAATAAATAAACAAATAAATAAATAAATTAATTAATTAATTAATTAATACATAAATAAATAAATTAATAAATAAATAAATAAATGAATAGTAAATAGTGAGTAGGTCGTGAAGAAGAAATGAAAAAGAAAAAACGAATTGAAAAGGGGCAGTGAAGAGTGAGCAAGAAAGAAATAAAAATAAAAAAAGAAAAAGACGAAAAGAGACAAAAAGAAGCAAAAAAAGACAATTAAAAAGAAACAAAGAGACAAATAAAAAGAAATAAAGAGACAAATAAAGAGACAAATAAAGAGACAAGTAAAGAGACAAATGAAGGTCAAAAAAGGGTAAAAAGGATTAAAAAAAGAATCAAAAGGAATAAAAAAAGAATCAAAAGGAATAAAAAGGAATTAAAATAAAAAAAGAAAAGAAATAAAAATGAATTTTGTTTTACCTCGTCGTAGGCGCGAAGAGCCTCTTGAACAACACGGTCAAAATCTCCATCCTAAAAAACAAAAATAAAAATAAAATTAAAAAAGATAAATAAATAAATAAGTTAATTAATTAATTAATTAATTAATCAACTAATCAACTAATTGATTAAGTGGTTAATTAATTAATTAATTAATTACATAATTCAGAAATAAAAAGAAATAAAAGAAATTAAAAAAATAAAGGGAAATTAAGGAAATAAAAAAGAAAAATAAAATTTTCAATAAAAGAAGGATCAAAATTAAAATTTTTTTCTTTGTTGCTCAAATTTGAATTTTTTTCGTTTTTTGAAGGAAATTGAATTAACTAATGAAATTAAATTAAATCAATTAAATTAAATCAATTAAATCAAATGAATTAAACCAAATGAATTAAATCAATTAAATTAAATTAAATTAATTAAATAAATAATTTGATTTAATTACTTGTGCAAACTCCGCCAAGTATCTGTTATAGTCTGCTCGCATTTTAATAAAGAAGGCCTTCGACTCCGCGCCGTCCACGTAAGGCAAAATGTCTAATAAATAAATAAATAAATAAATAAATAAATAAATAAATAAATAAATAAATAAATAAATAAATAAATAAATAAATAAATAATGATTAATTAATTAGTTAATTAGTTGGAGTGGCTGGCAGGTGGTTGGGCTTTGATTCGCTGGGCCTCAAGGGCGAGGTGCAGCAGCAGCAGCAGCAGCAGCAGCAGCAGCAGAAGCAGCAGGGATTGTAGCAGCAGCAATGGTACGAATAGCAGCAGCAGCCGCAGCAGAAATAAGAACAGCAGCAGCAGCAGCGGATATAACTGTAGCAGCAGCAATAATAGCGGCAGCAGGAAAAACTCGATAGCAGCAGAAGAAATACTGGCAGCAAAAGCAGCAGCAGCAGCTGCAGCAGCAGCAGCAGCAGCAGCAGCAAACCTCTGTCGACGAGTTCGAGCACTTCATTGCAGATTTGTTCTGTCTCTTGTTCGATCTCTCGCCGGTAGCTCAAAAGCCTTTCCTAAATAAATAAATAAATAAATAAATAAATAAATACTTTTAACAAATAATTAAATAAATGAATAGATAAAAGTAAATAAATAAAGGAAATAAGAAGTGGAAAGATGGCGAAAGAGCGAAGACAAAAACAAAAAATAAAACAAAAAGAAATAAAAGAATTTTAAAAAAAAAAGAAAAAAAAAAGAAGAAAGGAGAGATAAAGAGAAGAACCGAAAAAGCAGAAAGAGAAAAAGAAGAAAAAGAAGAAACAAAAAAGATTTAGAAAAAAAAGAAACAAAAAAGAAAAACAAAAAGAGGAAAATAAAAAGAAACAAAAAGGAGGAGAAAAACAAAAACAAAAAGAAACAAAAAGAGACAAAAAATGCAGAAAGTGCCAAAATACAAACAAAAGAGACAAAAAATCAAGAAAGGCAGAAAAAGAAAACAAAAAAAGAGATCAAAAAGATCAAAAAGAAGAACAAAAAGAAGAATTAAAAGGAGAATAAAAGGGAGAATAAAAGGAGACAAAAAGGAGAAAAGGAATTATAAAAAAAAGAAAAAAAAAGAAAAAATTTAAAAAGTTTGAAAGAACTGACGGGAATTGGATTTCCCGTCTCGAGGCCTTTGGATTCGATTCCGCTGATGTTTCTCCAGGTGTTTCTACAGCTGGTGATTTTTTGTTTGTATCCGACTGGAGAAAAAGAGACGAAAAAGGAGACAGTTCGAAAACGAATTATCCGTTTTGAAAAAGAGATAGATAGTTTTGAAGACCTTTTTCTCCTTTATCTTCTCGTCAAAAAATAAAAGAAAAAGAATAGACAGTTTTTGAGAAAATCCAAAAAGAAGACTTCAAACAAAGTTACGCATGCACTGCCTTTAAATCCCCACTTCTTTCTCTCTACCAGCGTTTTATTTCATTTTGTTTTTCATTTGTTTCATTTTATTCTTTTTTTAGCCTCTAACTCTTTTGTTTTATTTACTATTTACTTTTTATTTCATTATTTGTTTTATTGTTTTATTTATTTATTTATTTATTATTTTATTTAAATTCGTTTACGGGAAAATAAAGTGGCTTCGTCTCTCGTGAGGCCCTTCTTCTCCGCAACAACTTCTTTCATTATCTTAATCTGAAAATAAAAAATAAAATAAAAAAATAAATAAATAAATAAAATAATAAATAGAGAAATAAATTGATAAATTAATTAATCAATCAATAATAACAAACTAACTGATTAATTGAAATAGGAAAAAAAAAAAAAAATTGAAAAAGAAATAAAGGAAATTAACAAAAAACCTTTTAGGAAAAAAACGAAAAAGATAAGAGGGAAAAAATAAAAGACAAATAAAAAGAAAAACCAAGAACAAAAAACAAAAAGAAAAGATAAAAATAAGAAATAAAAATAGGAAACTAATAAAAAAGTAAATGCAGAGAAAATAAGGATATAAATGCAAACAAATAAAGAGACAATAAAGAAATAAATAAACAGTAAAATAAAGACAATAAAGAAATAAATAAAAAGATAAATTTTAGAAGATAAATTAAAAGATAAACAAAAAGATAAAAAAGTGATAAATAAAACGAAAAATAAAGAGATAAATTAAGAGCAAAAAGGGGGAAATACAAGGAGAAATGAAAAGAAAAAAAGGACAAAAAGAAAAAAGAACAAGAAAATCAAAAAAACAATAATTAAATTCGAAAAAAAGATAAATTAAAAGCCAAATAAAGGAGCAAATAAGGAGACAAATAAAGGGACAAATAAAAGAAAAAAGAATCAAAAAAGAATCAAAAAAGAATCAAAAAAGAATTAAAAAAGAATTTAAAAAGAATTAAAAAAAGAAAATAAATTAAAATTAAGCTGCGCACAACATCGTCAGATCTTTCTGTCTCCTGAGCCACGCTGGCGACATAAACCAAATCTTCTCTTTTCATTTTCCTGAAAATAAAAATAATTAATTAATTAATTAACTATTTATTTATTTATTTATTTATTTATTTTATTTAATTAATTATTTGGTTATTTAATTAGTTTGTTTATTATTTTATTTATTTGTTTTTTGTTTTTTGTTTTGTTTTGTGGATAGAAACTCGCAAAAAGGTCTTTTCCTTTTTTTCTGTTTTTCCTTTCTTTTCATTTTACAAATTAATTAATTAACTAATTAATTAACTAATTTAATTAGTTAATCTATATATTTATTTATTTATTTATTTATTTGTTTGTTTATTTATTTGCTGTTCATTTGGTCTAATTTGGTGTATTTGTCTTTGTCGCATTTGAATAAAAAGGACAGCAACAAATCTTTTTTAATTTCTTTTTCTTTATTTTCTTTTCATTTATTTTCTTTTTATTTCTTTTCTTTTATTTTATATATTTATTTCCTTTTTGTTCTCTTTATTTCCCTCTATTTCTTTATTTCTTTTATTTCTTTTGTATCTTTTATTTCTTTTATTTCTTTTATTTCTTTAAATTTCTTTTATTTCATTTCTTTTATTTCCTTTATTTCTTTTTATTTCTTTTATTTCCTTTTCTCTTCTTTTGTTCTTCAAGTGTCTCCAGAGGCTTCGTCTGCTGTTTCCTTTGGAGGCGTTTTTGGGGTTTGCCGCAGCAGCAGCGAAACCCTAATTTAGGGTTTGGGGCGAGCTGCTGCAGCGCAGCAGCAGCTCGTGCTGCAGCTAAAGTAGCTGCTTTCTTTCTTTTTATGTTCAAATTAAATTCTTTTCAATTTAAATTTGATTTCGAAGTTGCGGTGTCTGGCGATCTCGCGCTGCTTCGCGCTGCAGCTGCGGTGTACAGACACCCGAGGGTTTAGGGTATGGGGTTTAGGGTTTAGCGAGCGGCTCTTCCTTCGCCTGTCGGCGGCCGAGGACGCAGCCGCCAAGCCTGCTGCGCTGCGCTAGGGTTTAGGGTTTAGGGTTTAGGGTTTGCGGAGCAGCAAAAAAGATTTTTTCTCTTTTCCCTTGGAGGGCGCTTTGGGGGCGTGGGTGCACAGTGCAGCTTCCGGGTGTATATACAGCTCCCCCCGCAAATTACCTGAATGGTTTCGTTCCTTAAAGGGACATAAATGTCTTTTTTTCTTTTTGTTTCGCAAATTCAAAAATAATAATGTAAAAGCAGCAAAAAGGAACAAGTTGGCTGCACAAGCAGCAGCAGCAGCAGCAGCAGGAAGCTGCTGCACTGCGGCGGCGCCCCAGCGGTGGCTGCCGTCCTCTGACGGGCCCCGCGGCTATTTCTCGGAATTTTTAAGAAATAAACAACAAATTTAATTCTTCTATTTATTATTTCACTTTAAAAGAACTAAAAGTGCGTTAAAATGGCCCCCTGAGTCCGCACGTGACACCACCCCCAGCTGTACGTACACCCCGGCGGGTCACTTCGTCGTCGCTCCGGTGTACGTGCAGCTCGAAACGGAACAAATTCGCCTCAAACGAAGGGAAAACTTCAAGTAAAAGTAAATTTTCTTTTTTTAATTCTTTTAATTATATAAAATGCTTCAAAAACAGGGCCAATAAACCCTTTCGCCCCTCCTAAGCCAGCGCGGCCGCTGCTGCTGCTGCCCACAACTGGCAGTCACCCTAAATGGCTTTTCATTGCAAATGAATTAATTGCCAAAACATTCCTTATTTAATTGTTATTTACTATTTGTTTATTTAACACTTCAATTGAAATAAATTATTTATTTGATTGTTCTTATTTTTCGTTTATTTTAAACTTTTGTTCACTCCTTCAAATAATTCCATTTAATGATTATTTGCCCCCTTGTGCGCGACAAAGTAAAAACACAGAAAGAAATACATGAAATAATTAAAATCTAAAGATGAAATAAACAGATGAAATACTTTAAATCTAATAAGATGAAAGAAACTATGTAAAGCCAGCAGCAGCTGCAGCACCAGCAGCAGCAGCACCCGTTGCTACGGCAGCAGCTGCAGTAGCAGCACCAGTAGCAACAGCAGCAGCAGCACCAGTAGCAACAGCAGCGCCAGTAGTAACAGCAGGAGCAGCAGCAGCACCAGTAGCAACAGCAGCAGCAGCAGCAGCAGCAGCGCGAAACAGATGAACAAGTGAATGAACTGCAGCAAATCCTAAAAAGCAACAATGCATAAATAAAGAAACACTCGAGTTATAAAAAGCTAGCTCTAAAGCAGTTCACGGCAGAGGCTGCAGACCCTGCGAGGCCTCATCTGCTGCTGCTGCTGCTGCTGCTGCTGCAGCTGCTGCTGCTGCTGCCGGTTCGTCCGCAGCCTCTCCTGCTGCTGTTGCTGCTGCAGGGGCTACTGTGGCAGCAGCAGCTGGGGCTGCTGCTGCTGCTGCTTCTGCTGCAGGTCTTTGCTGCCTAAGAAAGGCGGAAGTGAAAAGGGAAGGAGCAGCAGCAGCAGCGCGAGCTGTCTGTACACCTGGAGATGCGCCTATGTCCCTTTTGCTGCTGTTTGTCTCCTCCTAAAAAAAACAAATTTAAATTCTTTTTCATTTAATTGCTGTTTATTTATTTATTATTTTTGCTGCTGCTATATCCTTTTAACAGTTCATTTTATTTATTTATTTGCTCATACCCCTGAAGCATTCAGCAAAGAAAAACCAGCAGCAGCAGCAGCATTAGCAGTAGCAGCAGTAGCAGCAGCAGCAGCAAGAGCAGCAGCAGTAACAGCAGCAGCAGCAAAAGTGCGACTTGCCTCTATAGGGTCCTCATCGACTGCTGGGTCGCGCAACTGCTGCTGCTGCTGCACCTGCTGCTGCTGCTGCTGCTGCTGCTGCTGCTGCTCTTCGGAGACTGTGGGGCTTTTGCCCCGCCTTGTTGCCCGCGGCAGCGCGCAGCTGTCTCCTTCATAAGCAGAGCGAACAAGAGCAGCACTATCAGCAGCAGCAGCAGCAGCAGCTGCTGCTGCTGCTGCTGCAGGGCTGCTGCAGTTCGCTGCTGCTGCCGTTGCTGCTGCAGGAAACCGGTGCAGCTCAGCAGCAAAACGCTTCAGCTGAAACGCCGTCACTGGCAGCGGCAGAAACCTAATAAATAAATAAATAAATAAATAAATAAATAAATAACAAATAAATAAATAGTAAATAAATAAATAAATAATGAAATAAAATGGATAAATAAAAAATAAATAAATGGTTACAAACGAAAACAATTAAGTTAGACTAAATGCTGACCTTCTTTTTCGGCGTTTTGGGTTTTCAAGGGTTTAGGGTCTAGGGTTTAGGGTTTAGGGTTTGTTTATGCCTACAAACCCTAAACCCTTGAAAACCCCGGCAATGAAAACAACCGGCAGAGACAGAATTAAACCACTAAACAAACAAATTAGATTAGATTGTTTAATTCAATTAATTTAATTTAATTAATTTAATTAATTTAATTAATTTAATTAATTTAATTAATTTAACTTAATAAAATAAAACTCACCAACGAATGCCAAAGGGCCCCCCAAAGACTTCCTGCAGCAGCTGAGTTTTGGACTTTTTGTCATTTTTAATTTTCTTCAAAGATTCAATTCCTAAATATAAATAAATAAATAAATAAATAAATAAATAATATTTGGTAATTGTAAGGGAGGGTTTAGGGTTTGCAGCTGTAGAGCTAGGGTTTAGGGTTTAGCGTTCACAGCTAGGGTTTAGGGTTTGGAGGTAGGGTTTAGGGTATGAAGCTAGGGTTTAGGGTTTAAAGCTAGGATTTAGGGTTTGACGCTAGGGCTTAGGGTGTAAAGCAACGGTTTAGGAATGCCAGAATGCCAGAGGTTTAAGGTTCAAAGCTAGGGTTTAGGGTTTACCAACAGAGGGTTTAGGGTTTAGGGTTTAGAGCTAGAGGCTACGGCTTCAGGCCCTAGGGTTTAGAACTTAGGGTTTGAAGCCGGCGGCCCAAACACACGCTAAACCCTGAACTGTTCTCTAGGGCTAAGGCCTAGGGTTTAGGAATTAGGGTTTAGGGTTTAGGGTTTAGGGTTTAGGGTTTGCCTGTCGTGTTGGAGAGGATGCAGCTGATTTGGTCAATGAACATAACCACCGTGAAAAGGCCGAAGATGAAGGCCAGCATAAATGTGAGCTGCAAATAAATAAATAAATAAATAAATAAATAAATAAATAAATAAATAAATATAAGTAAATAAATAAATATAAATAAATAAACAAATAAATAGATAGATAAATAAATAATAATTGAATTGACACAAAAGACTTACTGCTCCGCAAATGGCCGAGTGGAGGCTCACTTCGCACTGCGCATACACCCCAAAACCACAAACTAGGGTTTAGGGTTTAGGGTTTAGGGCTTAAGAGCTACTCTAGGGTCTCAAGTGAATATGAGAACAAAGAAAGCAAATAAACGGGAGGAAAGAAGCAGTGACTCTAGGGGTCAGGGTTTAGGGTTTGGGGTTTAGGGTTTAGGGTTTGGGGTTTAGAGTTTAGGGTTTACCAAGAAGTGCCTCCTGGGTCTCCTGTGGCTAGAATGGAAGTAGGAGGTTTGGTGGGGGCCCCCCAGGGGGCCCCCCGAACCCCAGAAGGAGTTTTTGTCTCCTGCTGCTGCTGCTGCTCGCCCCAGTCTGCTGAGAGGGTCTTCTGCAGCAGCAAAATAAAAACCATTAACAGCAGCATCAGCAAAACTATCAGCAGCAAGAAGTCGAGGGGGGCCCCCCTTGTCTTCAGGAAGTCCGTAGAATTCTGCTGCTGCTGCTCCTGCTGCTGCTGCGTCGTAGTCGCTCTCTGCTGCTTCGTCCGCTGCTGCTGCTTCTTCTGCTGCTGCTGCTTCTTCCGCTGCTGCAGCAGCAGCAGCAGCAGACATCCCCACCAGCCTCTCCGCCACCCCTCCCTCTTGGGGGGCCCCCAGGGGCCCCTCCTCCCCCAGGGGGCCCCCCGGGGCCCCCTCCTCAAGGGGGTCCTCAAGGGGGTCCCCAAGGGGGCCCCCCAGGGGGCCCCCC